AGTGATGGATGGTTGTGGTGACAGTGATGTTGGTGTTCAGATAGTGATGGGGAGATGGATGGTTGTGGTGATAGTGATGTTGGTGTTGGGATAGTGATAGAGTGATGGATGGTTGTGGTGATAGCAATGTTGGTGTTGGAAGAGATGGAATGATAGACAGTTGTGGTGGTAATGATGTTAATATTGGGATGGTAATGGAGTGATGGATAGTTGTGGTGATAGTGATGTTGGTGTTGGGATAGTGATAGAGTGATGGATGGTTGTAGTGATAGTGATGTTGGTGTTGGGATAGTGATAGAGTGATGGATGGTTGTGGTGATAGTGATGTTGGTGTTGGGATAGTGATAGAGTGATGGATGGTTGTGGTGATAGTGGTGTTGGTGTTGGGATAGTGATGGAGTGATGGATGGTTGTGGAGATAGCGGATGTTGGTGTTGGGATAGTGATAGAGTGATGGATGGTTGTGGTGATAGTGATGTTGGTGTTGGGATAGTGATAGAGTGATGGATGGTTGTGGTGACAGTGATGTTGGTGTTGAGATAGTGATGGGTAGATGGATGGTTGTGGTGATAGTGATGTTGGTGTTGGGATAGTGATAGAGTGATGGATGGTTGTGGTGATAGCAATGTTGATGTTGGAATAGAGATGGAGTGATGGATAGTTGTGGTGGTAGTGATGTTAATATTGGAATAGTAATGGAGTGATGGATAGTTGTGGTGATAATGATGTTGGTGTTGGGATAGTGATGAAGTGAAGCATCTTTTTAGTAATAGTGATGGTAACATCAAGGGTGATGATGGAAGTAGTAGAGGTTGAAGTGTGGTTTGTTGGTGAAGTTTGTGATAAATATGGTGGTAAAGTTGGAAGAAGTGATAGAGGTGCTTCTACCTTTAGGTTATTTCTATGGCGGTGACGTTGATACTGGTGGTTGTAATGTTGGTGATGTCAGTGGTGGAGATGCTATTGGTGGTGGTGGTCGTGTTCACAGTATTTTTGGCAGAGATGAAGCTGGTGGTGATGATGGTGGTAGAGATGGTAGTAGTGATGGTGGTGGCTTGGCTCTGTAGGGGACCTGAGGGAGTGACACTGATGTTGGCAGTGGTGACAGTGACCTGCAGAGGTGGTATGCATTGATTGGTGGTGGTGGTCATCATGGTGGAGGTGCCAGTTAGTGTTGTAATTGAAATAGAAAGATAACCTAGAGATGAGTCAGCACACTACCTTTTTTAAAAAAACAGCTTTATTGAGACACAGTTAGCATGCTGTAGCATTCCTATTTTAAGTGTATGATTCAGTGGTATTTCATATGTTTACAGAGATATGCAGCCATAACCATAATTGTAAACATTTTCATCACCCCACAGGGAAAGCTTGCAACCACTGGCAGCTGCTCCCATCCTCCCCCACTACTTTTTAAGTCTGTTTTTAAATTGTATAGTTTGGGAAACTGCAAGCTATGAAACTGAAAGTATATGTTCTTTATAGGAAACACATCTCACTTCCTCAGGTGCAACAATTTATTCTGCATGAAAACTGTGGATCGTATTAGCACCCTGAAAAAAAAAAGGATGTAAAAACACTACTGCCATCAAATAACTCATAACTCCACTCAATATATTTCATTTCAAAATTGGAATATTAAGAAAAATAGAGGAGAGCTCTCGTTTGTTCCTGGTGATATAGTCCCTTAACTTACCGTAGTATATTACACATCTGGAAGAATAATAACCAAAAAAGCCCTATCTCATTAACAGCCAATTGAAGCATGGACTTTAAAAATAAGACAGTCATCTACTTGTGGGACTTGAGTTCAATAAATAGAAACAGAGAAACTGTATTGTGAAGATGTTTAACATAGCATTTGTGGTAGTAAATAAACCCGGAAACAACAATATCCCCAACAATAAAAAAAATGGTTAAATAAAATAAAACATCACTATGATGGAATATGATATTTAAAGACTATGAAGTAAAGATGGGAATATAATCATAATAGCATATTAAATGAAGAAGAAAAATTCAGACACCAAGTTGCACAGGCTACAAACACAGCTATGTGGGGCAAAACACTTTACTTTAGATGAATAGGCTGAAATGCATCAAAATGTGAATAGAGTTGCATTGGATAGAAATGGTGGTGGTTTACTTTTATTATAAAAATGAGATAATTATTCTGCACAATATTTTGCAGAAGTATCAACTAAGAAAAAATAAGCTTTATTTTGGAACTCACAGGACTAAAATGTAGTTCTTCTAAGAAAAATGTAAAGAATTTTCTTTTTCTTGTTAACAAAATATTGAAATGGAACAGAACAAAAACACCTGTGTTGTCTATTATACTTAAGCTTCTTAGAATGTGTTTTCACCCATGGGGAGGAAAAAAAGGGAAGATTTCTCCATTCTACCTGCAAAACAGATAACAGGCAGGATTCATCCCGCCAAACTGGAGGAACTACATGTCAGCAAGCAGGTCCCTTCATTCTTGTGGAGGATTTAGCTACATTGGTTACTCTATGAAAACATTTTCTCACAGGCATTTGACTCTACTGTCTACACTTCTTGACCTGACTCCACATTCCCCATACTGTGAATCCAACTTGCTGTCTTAGGGAGCCTTCAAGCCTCACTGGGAGCCAGTTGAACAATTAGAATATTTAATGGATGTAAACCTCATTTAAAAATAATATTATTTTATTTGGGTCCCTATATCTAACATTAAAACACTGTGTAAAATAGGGGAAATCTCCTTGTTGGTAAATTTGACTTATAGGTGATGTTGGCAGAGAAATTAACTTGATTGATTAATTAGGTTACATAAATGCAATTCAGTGGTTGCAGCAAAACAATTTTCACGTAGAGTAGTTGAATTTTCAAAACACAGAATCTTGAGATCTATTTCTAAACAGTGTGAAAAGCCATAGCCCATCAATGCAAAAGCCAGCACATCTGTGGATTCAGAGGTGCATAGACATTTGTTTATAATAAAAAAGGTATGAGCTCTTCTACCAGAATCTAACTCTGAGCCAACAGATACAAATAATAAATGGTTTACGTGACTGTTTCACTGACACCTGCTGGCACCATGAATATACTACATTAGATTGGCTATTGGGAAAAGCAAGTGGAGTCCAAGAAAATCGTAAATGGAGAAACTTGCTGTGAACAATAAAAATGATTTTACTGCTCTTGAATAAGTCAGAATGACTACTAATGACAGTCCGAGGCATGGAATCCCCTGGGAAGTTATTATTAGGCAATCCATAAGTGTTTGCTGAATCCATCAGTGCTGCTCATCAGCTCAAAACCTTCTTCTGATTTCTTCCTGTCTGCCCCGCCCTGGTCACATTTGGCGGGTTTTCAAGGTCTTGCTCCACTCTGTCTGTTCCCTCCTGACTCACCGCTGGGCAGGTGCACACCCTCTGCAGGCTCCACTCACCCCATCCTCCTTCCACTTCTCTGAGCCATGCCCCACCAAGCCCACCTGGGCTCTGAGTCTTCCCACCACTTCAGAACACCCACACTAACACTTTCTGGGTGCCTGCTGGCCTTCACCTCCCTACCATGCATGTCCACACTTCATAGTTCTCTACAGATTCTTAAGTGCTTATTTCCTCTCTCCAGGTCGATTATAAGCACTTTCAGGATGGAGAAAGCTTTCAGAGCCCTGAGAGATCTAGATCCATAATTTGTACTTAAATGTATGTGTGTGTATGTATATGCATACATATGTACATGTATACATATATACATACACATGTATGTGTGTATACATACATACACACACATGAACAAACATATCTGTTGACTGCCTGAAAGTCTACAAAACCTTTATTTCCTAGAGCCTCATCTTGCTCATCTTGGTGGCATTCGTATACCTTTTTTTTTTTTTTTTTTGAGACTGAGTCTTGTTCTGTCACCCAGTCTGTAGTGCAGTGGTGCAATCTCGGCTCACTGCAACCTCCACCTCCCAGATTCAAGTGATTCTCCCATTTTAGCCTCCCAGGTAACTGGGACTACAGACGCCCACCACCATACCTGGCTAATTTTTGTATTTTTAGTAGAGACAGGGTTTCACCATGTTGGCCAGGCTGGTCTTGAACTCCTGACCTCAAGTGATCCGCCTGCCTCAGCCTCCCAAAGTGGTGGGATTACAGGCATGAGCCACCACACCCTGCCTTATACCATTCTTGAAAAGGCTCCGGTTTCTAAATAAAGTCCTACACATCGGCCTAAATCCTACTTTGACCTGGTGGACCATCTTCACATCAGCAGGGTGGAGTTAGCACCAGCCTCTCTCTTGCCCCCAATTTAATCTCCCCCAAATGATTCCAGAATGACTCAGGGCTTCATGAGAGAGATTACCTTTCTGTAGGGTGTGCACTCACCTTCACATGCCAGTTTTCAACCTGGAAACACCATGATTCTGGGATATTTCCTTAGAATATAAGCTCCATGAGGACAGGGGTCTTTTGTTTTCTTACATTTCCAAACTCAATTCTGTTCCCTGGTGCCTGGAACAAGGCCTGGCACAGAGCAGCGAGCCCAAGAATTCTTGCTGGGTGCAGGCCTGAGGGCCAGTCACACCCCATCGTAAGTGTACCTGGAGATGCCACAAACGTGATCTGTATTTTGACACTTTCTCGCCAATTAGACAAGTCAACCAGGACAGCATGAAGGACAGAATGAGAGCGCAGGCTCTGGGGCCAGACACCTGGGTTCAGATTCCCCTGCTGCCATGTATACTCAGGTGACCTCCAGTGTCCATTGACGGTCCAATGGCTCAGAGGGGCTGAGAGGGCCGGATGCACTCACAGGTAAAGGAAGGGTGCCTGGCACAGACCAAGCACTGCACGTGGCTTTGCGGCTGCTACTGGACCACCGCCCCAGCATCATGGCAATGACTCCACTTTATTTCTGCTTTCCTACGCGGGTGTGGGCATTGATGTCGCTCTTGTCCTACCTCAAGACTTCTTTAGTGTGTTCTTTTCTCTCCTGTTTAGGCTCCCAAGAAACATTTGCAAAATGGGATTATCCGTGGCTACCAAATAGGTTACCGAGAGTACAGCACTGGGGGTAACTTCCAATTCAACATCATCAGTGTCGACACCAGCGGAGACAGTGAGGTTTACACCCTGGACAACCTGAATAAGTTCACTCAGTACGGCCTGGTGGTGCAGGCCTGTAACCGGGCCGGCACGGGGCCTTCTTCTCAGGAAATCATCACAACCACTCTCGAGGATGGTAGGTTCGGCCAGGCCCTGGTGGTGACTTCCCCTCCGCAAAGGTTCCCTCGGGTCTCCCCCGGGGCTCCCCCAACCTCGCCGCCCCCCCTCCTCCCCCCACTGACTTTGCAGTGCCCTGCAGGGCCTGGGGTCTCAGGTGGGAAAGCCTTGCCTCGTGACCTCGCCCACCTCGCTGATGCGCACCCCTCGGTTAGGGCTGGGTTGCAAAGCCAGCAAGTCCCTCGCTTTTCAGACTCTTCCTCATTCATTTCGGGTACAAGAATTGGGCTTTTCTGGAGTGAAAGCAAGGCTCTCCCTATTACTGCAGAAGTCTCACGAGAATGCAGAAATGCTATTTGCTAAAAAACTTTCTCCCAAATGTTAAGAAGGTTTTTTAAATTTATTTTTTTTTAATTGCTTTCTATTTTCAAGCATTCTGAGCACAGAGAAAAGGAATTTTCTCATCGCACGGTGATCTATCGCCCCCTAGCGGCCAAGATGAATTAATTAGCCCTTCCACGGTGACACCGAATAACCCAGAAGCTGGAATTTCCAGTAGTGTTTGGAAATAAAGAACCCTGATATCCAAAGGCATAGTGTTTTAGGCAGAAAGTTAAGATATGGGGTTATTTGTAGCAATAAGTGGTAGCTTTCAAGGCAGCAAGCTGGAACTGCATTTACCTCTTGTGCAGTTAGCCATTTGATCATAGCTCCGCCTCCCAGGTTCACGCCATTCTCCTGCCTCAGCCTCCCAAGCAGCTGGGACTACTGGCGCCCGCCACCACGCCTGGGTAATTTTTTGTATTTTTAGTAGAGACAGGGTTTCACCGTGTTAGCCAGGATGGTCTCGATCTCCTGGCCTGATGATCCGCCCGCCTCGGCCTCCCAAAGTGCTGGGATTACAGGCGTGAGCCACGGCGCCCGACCCTTGATCATAGGTTTGAGGAAGCAAATATGACTTGTACCTGTACTATCTGACAAGTTTTGCAAGGAGAGGAGTCTTCAGTGACTTGCAACTTGAACACTGGAATTGTCTATCTTCATAATCTTTGCAATAGTAGTTAAATATGCCTTTGTTTTTGCTTCAATGCTCATTTTTCATTAAGATGCTTGTTTCAGCCAGTATTTTGCACCCCCTCCTAGTGCCAGCAGTTAAGATGTACAAAAGCTCAGTAGTAAAAATGCTTTCAATATTCTTCTGACCCGTCTCCTCGTCTGTGGTCTCTCTTCCCTCTGGGGAAAGGGATGAGGATGAGACGGGAAATCTGTGATTATATTTCTACTTTTTAGCACTTTACAATGGTTAAGCTTCCAATTTATATGCCAGATGTTACTAAATACAGAGGTACTGTACTCTATAAAGTAAATGCAACTTAAAGAAGTAACTTCCAAGAGTAAGGGGAAAATAAATCAGACAAACAATGATCTTCTACTCGGGCAAAAAAAATTAAGAAGCTGTCCTAAAAGTAAAGAAACTAAGTTGGAAAGAGAGACTATGGAATCCATTAGAATATATGCATTGACTCATGATATTTTACTGAGTTATAAGATTTATACAGAGAAGTGATCTTTGTTATTTTTTCTTTCATTTTGGGGTTGAGTGCATTTTTTGCTTACATATTGAAATATTAAAATATGTTGCTTTTACAGTATTGCTTTGCTCATAAACCACCCACGGTTATTACAGATTCTCATTATTTGATTTCAGTGCCCAGTTATCCCCCTGAAAATGTCCAAGCCATAGCAACATCACCAGAAAGCATATCAATATCCTGGTCCACACTTTCCAAGGAAGCCTTGAATGGAATTCTCCAGGGGTTCAGAGTCATTTACTGGGCCAACCTCATGGACGGAGGTAAGAGGACTAAACTAGGACTTTGGGTTTGCCTCCAGAGAATGCATGATGGAATTTGCAGACCCCTCCTAACTCCTGACAAGGGGCTTAGGATACGGCGGGTACCTCTTTATCAATAGACACTTTCGCCTTTTCTGTCATCTCTCATTCGACATTTGAACAGGTCTCTCTGTTTAAAACATCACACACCTTCTAAACCCAATTTGAAGCCTAGGCGGGGGTGGCACTCGGGAAATTCAACATAGATGTATTTTCCTAATTATGAGTGTCTATGTCAAGTCTCTGCAGGCAGCACCAAAACCTCCATCTCTGCCTAGAACATTCTATGTGATATGTATTCTAGAATGTTGGCCCCTTCCTGTTTCCCAGATAGAACTCCGCGGGGAAACGTTAAAGTTCCTGTAGTTGTGCTGTAAGTGGGTGTGGGAAGAGTGCCCAGGCACACGGAGGGGGGCACTCAGGAGGGGGCCAGGAAGTTCAGGGCCCTCTCGTTTTGTCTCCTGTTTCTCTTTCTCCTCTTCCTTCCCCTTCTCCTCCTCTCTTTTCCTTGTTCTTTATCTCGTGCCTGCGTGTGTGTGTGTGTGTGTGTTTCAAGTTGTAGGATAAAATTTTCCTGTTTGTTTAGGGCAAGACTTTGAAAAAGTGACTTTCTCAAGTGGCCATAAGATTGGGGCCACAAGTTTCTTGGAGCACACCTCATTGTCTTTGCCCTCAGGCTGCGAGTGGTGCCTGCCAGGCTGGGCCGGGCTGTGTGAGTATCCTGGGGGCAGAGCGAGGCTGCAGCCCCCAACAGGAGAGGCCTCTGGAAGTCTCCTCACCGTCTCTGTCCCAAGCCTGGGGGGCCCACACCTGCCTCCTCCCCTGCCCTCCATTTGCAGCCCCCTCCTGTGCCCCCTGTCCCTGGACAGTACCTCTCCTCCTATTTGGGGCTTCTTTTCTTTTTTTGAGAGAGGGTCTCCCCCTGTCACCCAGGCTGGGATGCAGTGGCAGGATCTCAGCTCACTGCAACCTGTGCCTCCAGAGCTCAAGCAGTTCTCCTGCCTCAGCCTCCCAAGTAGCTGGGATTACAGGTGTGCACCATGCCTGGCTAATTTTCAGTATTTTTAGTAGAGATGGGGTTTCGCCAGCTTGGTCAGGCTGGTCTTGAACTCCTGGCCTCAAATGACCTGCCCCCCTCGGCCTCCCAAAGTGCTGGGATTACAGGTGTGACCCACCGTGCCTAGCCTGGGGCTTCTTTTAACCCCTGCAACTGGATGTGATCCCTGAGGAGTGCTCACCTCCAATTTTGGGCAAATGCAGTCAAGGACCTATCCCTTCCATGCTCAGGACCTCCTGGATCTGTTCTACCAGGCAGGCCGCTGTCCCCATGCAGGTAAACATAGGGCCCCGCAGGTGGCAGGAGCCTCCACAGTGGATGCAACAATAAGGCAAGAAGACACATGAGCAGCGCAAGCATTACTGGCTCAGCGAGCGCAGGCCTTTGAGCCTCAGCTCTGCATGTCCCTAACTGGATGTGTTTCTCAGGACTGAGACCAGACCTTGTGCCTTTGATGCCGCGTGTAGTACCTGGAGCAGTACCAGCCACAGGAGGCGATCTAGAATGACCCCTCCTTGGTCCTGCAGCAGACACATTTGCTAAACACCCGCTCGGCACTGAGCTCATGGGAAACACCAAGGTTGCTGTGTCTGTCCCTGTCGAGGTTCCAGACCAGGGACCGAAGAAGATGCTAATGAATATGGAACCACAGACCCAAGAAGGGCAGATTTAAGTAGATGATTCTGTAACACCTTCACCCCCCCCACCTAAAGACAAGCTTTTAAAACACCACAGAGTAGAGAGCAATGAAAATTTGCAAAGTCATCTATTTTATGGACAAAATGCCATACGACATCATTACACATGTTCCTTCTAATTTCTACTCCTTACATTGAGTGGGTGAAATTAAATACCCTAACTTTCTTCTAAAGGCAGTGTTATGCTAAGATGTCTCTTCTGTTGTTCTTGTTGGAAATATTTCTAGAATTCAGTGGCGACTTCATCCACATGACCCGTATTTTCTAAGATTACTTACATTTGCTAACATTGCCTGCTGGCATCTCCATTCTAAAACGAAAGATGTGGCTTCATACCTTTAAAGCTTTGAAAACTTGAATATTCAAAAACATAATTCTTTAAATAAAGAAATGCTTGGGAGTGCATGCAGCTTTTTAAAGACACTTTCACTCATGGAATTAAAAATCAAAGTGATGAGATAAATGTACAGTGTAGACGTTCTGCACGTAATTTCCGAAAGATAAGCAAGAAACCTTCAGAGGCCGGGCGCGGTGGCTCAAGCCTGTAATCCCAGCACTTTGGGAGGCCGAGACGGGCGGATCACGAGGTCAGGAGATCGAGACCATCCTGGCTAACCCGGTGAAACCCCGTCTCTACTAAAAAAAAAATACAAAAAACTAGCCGGGCGAGGTGGCGGGCGCCTGTAGTCCCAGCTACTCGGGAGGCTGAGGCAGGAGAATGGCGTGAACCCGGGAGGCGGAGCTTGCAGTGAGCTGAGATCGGGCCACTGCACTCCAGCCTGAGCGACAGAGCGAGACTCCGTCTCAAAAAAAAAAAAAAAAAAAGAAACCTGCCTGCGAATGTCGCTCTTCCTGCTACCCGAGAGATTTCGTTTATGAAGCAGGTCAGTTCACGGGGCTACTGGACACTTTCGCACAAACTCCTCATTCTGTGACCTCCAGGGCTGGCTGGATTTCCACAGACATTGAGCATGGAGTGACTGTGTAAAGCCACACCTTGAGCAAACATCGCAATCACACTCCACACACACACACACGCTCATCACAACACACAGCACGTAACCTGCACCCATGTGACACATATGCCACACACCCACATGCACCACACAGCAACCCCACACACCCCAGACACACCACACACCACACCACACACACACACCACACACACTACACTGACACCACACATATACACACCACACATACAGCACACACCAAAGCACGCACACCCCACACACATACACGCACCCCATATACACCACATACCACCCCCCAGACACATCACACATGCACCACACCACACACCCCACATACACATGCACACGCACCACACATACACCACGTACGACACCACACATACACACCACACATACACATACCCCACATACACTGCACACTATGCCACACATACAGACCACAGACACAACACATACACAAAGCCCACATATACTGCACACCACACCACACATACACACCACACACACCACACATACACACACTCCACATACAACACACACCCACACCACACATACACCACATATCACACCACACACACACCCCATATACACCACACACACCCCACATACACATGCACACACACCACACATACACATGCACACACACCACATACACATACCCCACATACACCACACACACCCCACATACACATAACCCACATACATCACACACCACACACTCACCACACACACCTCACATACAACACATACCACACCACATACACACCCCATATATGAGACACACCACACCACACATATACAAACCCCCCACACACACCACACACACTCCACATACACATGCACACACACACCCCAGTACACCACACACTACACCACACATACACACCACACCACACATACCCCCCACACACACCCCACATACACCACTCACCACACCACACATCACACACCTCATGCTACTCACAACATATACCACACACATACACCATACACCCACATACCACACACACACCATTCACATCACATACCACAAACACCACACACACACACCACACACTCACACAGGCTGAGAGAGGCAAATATCGTTACTACCACTGTAATTAGCAATAACCCGAATACTTTCCAAAATATGTCTAAGAAAGAATTCTGTTGTTAATGTGATCAGATGAGATAAAACTGGTTAGTATATTTGATAGGGCAGGTTAAATAAACAATACTTTGATGGATTTTCTGATTTTATTTTTCATGGTCAGAAAGTTAAATCATGGTTGAGGCCTGACAGAAACAGTTTACTTGAGATTGCTAGGACAATTGTATCCTTTGAAAAGTTACCGTTTTCCTTTGAGTTTTTGCTACCTTCCATCTCATCCATCTTCCTTCATGACAAAAATGGTAAACTCGGAAAGGAAGCAATATTTAGGTGCCAACTAGTGTATGTAGGCAGCTGAGGGTTGCTTCTGAAGCTATTCCCACACCTATTTTGTTTTCTGCCTTAAAACCCTCTGAGAATGAGGCAGGATATAAATAAATACACAAAACTATTTTGTTTAAAACAAAATTTGTAATAGAAAAAATCTGATATCTATATTTATTTTATATATATTTTTAATTTTATTCCTCTCATGGCCTCAACTGAACAGTGCACTTCAGTTAACGTGTGTGTGTGTGTGTGTGTGTGTGTGTGTGTGTGTGTATTAAACAGCTCTATAGGGGCGTGGAAGATCGACTGTAGAAATTCGCGTTTAAAAAGAAAAAGAACTAAAAAGAATGGCAAACTAAACACTCAGTTTTGTATCTGGCTTTCTTTTTTTTCATCCTTTGCTTTTTATTTCTTCCATATCTGCTAGTCACCCAGTATCTGTCATCAGGAAAATACCTTCAGAGTCTATGAGGCGTTCTAGCAAATAGGGCCAACTCTGGCTCAGGTGGTTTTCAAAATCTTAGAATTGGGGTTTTGACTGCTTTTGTCTTCATGGTTCATGATAAATTAGTTGATCAAAATGACTTGAACCCTCTAATGAGTAAACATCTAAATGTTAATTCTAATTAGCATATTAACTATTAGCATTTTTAATCATTTTGTTTTAAGTGTTTCCTTTTTTTTTATTTTTGAGACGGAGTCTTGCTCTGTTGCCCAGGCTGGAGTGCAGTGGCGTGATCTCGGCTCACTGCAAGCTCCGCCTCCTGGGTTCAGCCCATTCTCCTGCCTCAGCCTCCCGAGTAGCTGGGACTACAAGCACCCACCACCATGCCTGACTAATTTTTTGTATTTTTGTTAGAGACGGGGTTTCACCGTGTTAGCCAGGATGATCTTGTTCTCCTGACCTCGTGATCCGCCCGCCTCAGCCTCCTGAAGTGCTGGGATTACAGGCGTGAGCCACCGCGCCCGGCCAAGTGTTTGCTCTCTTTAAGAAGATCAGAGAGGCCAGGTTGCCCTTCTCGCTCCTCACCAGGCTCCTCTTCCTCATTCTGTCTGATTCAATTGTTGCGTGGCCGGAGGGTCACAGCTTTCTCCTATATTGTGAAATGATCCTACTTTCCCTGTGAGGTGGACACCTGCACTCTTGAGAAAAAAAAAAAAAAACCTTCATCAAAGTCTCATTACCAGCTCCCAGCACCCTGCCCTGACCAGCCCCTCCCCTCAGCTGTATTTTTATTGACTGTGTGTGTATATATCTGTAGGAATGTGTGTGTGTGATCTTTGATAGTGAAGTTTCTAAATCTGAAAAGATCTTAATGAGTTCTATATTTAAACTTTGTCTATTAGCATTTGAGTTTTTAATTAATTTGTTTAAAGGCAGGGTCTGGCTCTGCCACTTAGGCTGGAGGACAGTGGCACAATCACAGCTCACTGCAGCCTCCAGTTCCTGGGCTCCAGCAGTCCTCCCACCTTGGCCTCCCATGTAGCTGGGACCAGAGACATGAGCCACCATGTCTGGTTACATTTAGGTTTTTTATCCTAATCCAAAAGACTTGCATTAAATGCATTCAGGAAAAGGAATATAATTGAATATGGAAAGACCCTTCCTTTGGAGATGAGAATTTCCAATCCATCCGGGGCAACGAAGTATTGATATTTTGACTGCCTGGTGACCACACATGCACAGACATTCTCCTCATTTTCATAAGCCCTCTTTTGAGATTTCCAAATTGTGACCTCTAACAGCTGGCACCCTGCTGGCCTCCCTAGAAGACAGGAGTCCGAAGGCATGTCTTTGGACCATCCTCACCCTGCTCTCTCCCCAGCAAAGCCCCAGCCTACAGAACTGCTTCTGGTGGTCCCAGGCCTTCAGCTCCCACTGGGGCCTGCACTGTGGGAGCCACATGAAGCCCCTTTACCCCTCTTCTTGCAACTCCTAGAAGGCACAGGGGTTCTCTGGCATGTGAGGGACAGGCCTCAGTCATCCCATGCAGTATTTGCCACTCTCCTTTAATGCTGTATCCATTCTACATTGATCCTTTTGGTGACAAAAAATTAAAATGAACAAAAGACATTCCACAGTCATCCTCATCACAAAATACAGGGCTATTCATTTGTGAACTTCTGTGAAATATCCTGGACACACAAGAGAAAAGAAAAACAACGAACAGGAAGGAAAAACCGGGCAGGCAAAAAGCAAAAGCCCGTTTAATCTGGCAGACACGACGGCTCGTGGGTGCCTCTATTTTCAGCCCATTTTCTGCTTTTTCCCAGAGCGACGGAGGAGAACAGCTGACATCTGCAGCCTGTGCCCTCAGCCACTGTGCTGGGCTCCTTGATCCTCTGTCCCTTGACTTCCTTGGCTGTAAAATGAATGAGTTGCAAAAGTAATGGAATAACTCTGCTGGTCGCATAAGTTACTATCTGTACTTAGAGTAGCATAGCACTGGCACCTAGGCAGGCATGCACGTCACGTCCACTCCCTACACGGAGGCCAGGGGAAGTGAGAGAGATTGACAGGCAGCTAGCATTGCCCTCTAAATGTAGCCAAAGCAGACCTGTTCCACAAGGTACTCCCCGGACCTGCTGGTCTCTCGGGGTAACCGACCTGCTCTGGGTACCAATGTGTCACTGACAGCCCCTTCCCCTAGGGAAACAGTTCTCAGACCCTTCTCATGCTCTGAAGATGACTCATTTCAAAACCCATCAGCCAAACCCCAAGGAAGTACATCCCTGGTAAGTTTTCTCAAATGGCCGTGTAGCGTGTGCTGGGGATGAGAGTGCATAGTGTTCCATCTGTGAATATTATTAGTTGATCCCACTCCTGAAAGTGAAGCATTTTTAGCTGACAGCAAATTTCTGACACATGCGCATGTCCCTTCAGGCTTGAAGCTGGGAGTTCACTCCAGGTAAACAGAGGGGTTTGCTGAGCCACTCAGTTTAGCGCAGGTGTATTTTTTTCTAATTTAAATATGTTATCTCTTCAGCTTTTTAAAGGTATAATTGACAAAAATTGTGTATCTTTCAAACATGCAGCTTGTTTTGACGTATGTATCCCATGTGAAATGCTCGCCACAATCAAGCTAATTAACAGCAGGTCCACCCCCTCAGATAGTTGCCCTTTTCTTCCCCCACCCCCAAATGATACAAAGTTTCAGTTATGCAAGATGAGTAGGTTCTGGAGATCTGATGTAGGAAGTGGTGACTATAGTAAAAGATACTGTATTGTAGACTGGAAACTTGCTAAAGAGGGTAGATCAGATATTTGAGATGAAGTTAGGTACTTAAAAATACATGTATGTTAAAGTAGAGTTTGTTTAAAATAACGGTAAAACCCCTCAGCTTGCAGAAGCTTCCTAACGAATAGTTAGCAATGGAACTGCCGCGTGTGCAGTGCATGTGGGCCTCCGAGTGTGCAGTGCGTGTGTGCCGCTGCGTGGGAAGTGTGGGTGTGCCACATGTGCAGTGTGTGTGAGCTGCCAAGTGTGCAGTGTGTGTGCCTCCGAGTGTGCAGTGCGTGTGAGCCACCACGTGTGCAGTGCGTGTGTGCTGCTCGTGCAGTGCGTGTGTGCCGCCACGTGTGCAGTGCGTGTGTGCCTCCGAGCGTGCAGTGTGTGTGTGCTGCTGTGCATGCAGTGCGTGTGTGCCACCACGTGTGAAGTGTGGGTGTGCTGCATGTGCAGTGTGTGAGCCGCCAAGTGTGCAGTGTGTGTGTGCCTCCGAGTGTGCAGTGCGTGTGAGCCGCCACGTGTGCAGTGTGTGTGTGCTGCTGCTCGTGCAGTGCGTGTGTGCCGCCACATGTGCAGTGCGTGTGTGCCTCCGAGCGTGCAGTGCACACTGTGTGCTGCTGTGTGTGCAGTGCGTGTGTGCCACTGCGTGTGAAGTGTGGGTGTGCCGCATGTGCAGTGTGTGTGAGCCACCAAGTGTGCATTGCGTGTGTGCCTCCGAGTGTGCAGTGTGTGTGAGCTGCCACGTGTGCAGTGCGTGTGTGCTGCTGCTCGTGCAGTGCATGTGGGCCGCCACGTGTGCAGTGCGTGTGTGCCTCCGAGCGTGCAGTGCGTGTGTGCTGCCACGTGTGCAGTGTGTGTGGGCCACCACGTTTGCAGTGCGTGTGCCGCCGTGTGTGCAGTGCATGTGTGCTGCCGAGTGTGCAGTGTGTGTGTGCTGCCGAGTGTGCAGTGCGTGTGAGCCGCTGTGTGTGCAGTGCGTGTGAGCCACGGAGTGTGAAGTGCGTGTGAGCCACTGTGTGTGCAGTGCGTGTGAGCCACCGAGTGTGCAGTGCGTGTGTGCCTCCGAGTGTGCAGTGTATGTGAGCCGCTGAGTATGCAGTGCGTGTGAGCCGCCGAGTGTGCAGTGCGCGTGTGTGCCGCCGTGTGTGCAGTGTGTGTGTGTGCCGCCGTGTGTGCAGTGTGTGTGTGCCGCCGAGCGTGCAGTGTGTGTGAGCCGCCGAGTGTGCAGTGTGTGTGAGCCGCCGAGTGTGCAGTGTGTGTGCTGCCGTGTGTGCAGTGTGTGTGTGCCACCGAGTGTGCAGTGCGTGTGTGAGCCGCCGAGTGTGCAGTGCATGTGAGCCGCCGAGTGTGCAGTGCGTGTGTGTGCTGCCGTGTGTGCAGTGTGTGTGTGCCGCCGAGTGTGCAGTGTGTGTGTGTGGTACTAAGTGTGCCGCCGAGTGTGCAGTGTGTGTGTGCCGCCGAGTGTGCAGTGCGTGTGAGCCGCCGAGTGTGCAGTGCGCGTGTGTGCCGCCGTGTGTGCAGTGTGTGGTGTGCCGCCGAGTGTGCAGTGTGTGTGTGCCGCCGAGTGTGCAGTGTGTGTGTGTGGTACTAAGTGTGCCGCCGAGTGTGCAGTGTGTGTGTGCTGCCGAGTGTGCAGTGTGTGTGAGCCGCCGAGTGTGCAGTGTGTGTGTGCCGCCGAGTGTGCAGTGTGTGTGTGCCGCCATGTGTGCAGTGTGTGTGTGCCGCCGAGTGTGCAGTGTGTGTGTGCTGCCGTGTGTGCAGTGCGTGTGTGCCGCCGAGTGTGCAGTGTGTGTGTGTGCTGCCGTGTGTGCAGTGCGTGTGAGCCGCCGAGTGTGCAGTGCACGTGTGTGCTGCCGTGTGTGCAGTGTGTGTGTGCCGCCGAGTGTGCAGTGTGTGTGTGCTGCCGAGTGTGCAGTGTGTGTGTGTGGTACTAAGTGTGCTGCTCGGGGTGCAGGAGACATTGCTCATTAGCACCTGCTGAAGGCTGAGTGGCAGCCCTGGTGCTGGCCTTGGGTTGATAACACTTAACTTGGAGCGAATTGCTTCGTGTTCCAGACCAACGTTCTGCCTTGTGTTCTGGAGCAGTTTGGTGTGAATGATCTTTTCCAAAGGGCCACATGACACCATGAGCTCACAGGATGACTGTGCACAGTCCCTTTGAGGAATTCCCATGTCCAGATGGTGGCTGGACAGGTGATGGCATGGCACAGGGACAGTCAGTGGGGACAGCACGGAAAAATGAGCAGAAATAGGCTCAGAAGTGGGATTTTGTTTTCTTGTTCTTGTCCTCCAGAGCTGGGTGAGATTAAAAACATCACCACCACACAGCCTTCCCTGGAGCTGGACGGGCTGGAAAAGTACACCAACTACAGCATCCAAGTGCTGGCCTTCACCCGCGCAGGAGACGGGGTCAGGAGTGAGCAGATCTTCACCCGGACCAAAGAGGATGGTGAGAGACGGTTGGGCAACTGCTGGAAGGGCTGGGTCAGAGGGAGCGCACTTGCCTTTACCCTGCAGTTCATCAGGCTATTCTCAGTGCAAACCTTTGCTGCCTTCCCAAAATATCCCAGTGCAATTTAGAGCATTAGCTTCCTCTCTTGCCTTTGCTTGATGTGTCTAATCCATTGCTGCTTCTTCCTCTCTATTTTTTCTTCTTTCTTTTTTTTTTTCCTTTGGCCAAGTATTATTGTAAACAGAAATTCATTTTATCCTGGAGCTATAATACTTGTCATACATGTTTTGTATCTTGTTAGAATAATTTTAGTGGCTCTTCAGTTATTAGTGTAAGCTCTGATTAAATCCATCCTTCCACTTCTTGAAAATTATGTACAGGCTGAAGTTCTATTATTCTTTTGCCAGCTGAAACACTTTAGAATAAGTCCTTAATTTGATCACTTCATGTTAATTTTTTTTTTAATTCTTGCAAGAATTCATGGTGATTTAGTAAAAATTTAAATTGCTGCTCATTTTGTTCTACAACAATAATTCTTGCTGTTCCTTATGATTTGGATTGGGTTATGTGACTATTACCCAAACCTACAAAAACCGTACAATAAAGATTCTGTACTATTTTAAGGGAAACTCTGAGGGGCATTAGCCAAGCCTGTTTGAGGAACAGATAAGTTCTGATAAATACTACCGTGGTAGTGAGAAAAGTAGCCTCCACCTTAATAAAGGAAGGAGCAACTGATGTCAAATTGATGCCCACATAGAACCTTCCCAGAATATTCCAGCACAGAAGTATACGTTGAGATGAGACATTAGCAGACCTAAATGCTGTGTTGGATTGTCTCTGCAACTTTTGTCATCTTGCCGGGACTCTGTTCCCCAGGGAGCATAGGGGCGGGAGAGTTGTTGGCCATTGCCGGTCGCCTCCCACGTATGGGCAGGTTTGATGTCTATGCCGTCTCCCCCACTACTAGAGTATCAAAAATGCTGTTATTCCATCCCATATCTGTTCTGATGGCAGCAAAGAACACCTGCTCAGGGGGCACGATACGCTCTTCTCCTCAGCCTTTCTGCCCCTGACCATGACTCTCTGTTATTCTAAGCCTGCCATCTTCCACCTCACTCTCTGCTCTCACCTTGGCAAGCCAGGCCTGGCTCTCCTGAGCCGCCCCAGGCATCCACTGTCACCTGGTGTTTTTGCTGCTTCTGTAGCCCTTCTCACATTATGATGTCTACACCCAAACTAATCCTCGTTTGCTTTAGTTTTTTTCTATAATGCACAGGTAGTTCTTCCAGGGAATGTGCAGGTGTCAGCCAGTTCTGCTCTAAGAAATTGGATTATTTAGGGAAATCTAAGTTTCAACTGTAATGCCATTAGGAAGTCACACATCAATAGAGATATCTAGAAAGCTAAGTCCTGAGTAAAAACAGCCATAATTTAATTTTTAAAAAATGTAATAGACGAAGAGCTGTGCATATACTGGCTCTGTCACCTGCTACCTGTGGGACTTTGGGCACCTTACCTAAGCTTCTCTGGACTGGATTGTCCTCATGGATAATCTGCTGTAGCAATCAGCCTGCACAGAACCAATGTATGAGAGCTGAAGTGATGTCTGAAAACACCTGCTTGCCACAAAGTGGGATGCTTCCTGACACTCAATATTTGATTATTTGCTCTCCACTCCTTCAGAGCAGGAGTGAAATACTCTTTTTTACATTGCTAAGCAATAATGCAAATGTCACTGGAATAATTATTTAAAGAGCAAATTGATCATCCACAAAAAGTTTTGCATCTGCATTTTTAGAACAATGTACAGAAATCCCATAAGAAGGGAAGGTTCTTCACAGATCCTTATTAATTTCACAATTTTAGATCAATTTTAAATTAATATTCTAGTTTTAAGAATCATAGAGTTCTCTTTCAAAACTTGACCCCAAGGCCCAAGGTCTAATTTGTCAATCAATTATGCTTTGCTTTTGTCTCCAGTGCTGATAGTGTGTGGAGCTGGGATTGACTATGGAAAACCCTGCCTTGGGTGCCCCAGTTACCCCAAGGAGGATGCCGTGGATCCCACTTTTGCTGGTGGTATGGAACAAGGACTATGCAGAACTGAGTGTCAATATTTCTTTAGGATAAGTGTGTATTTTCAAAAAGAAGTGGAGTAGTGGATCACTTGAGGCCAGCCTGGCCAACATGGTGAAACCCTGTCTCTACTAAAAATGCAAAATTAGCTGGGTGTGGTGGTGGGCGCCTCTAATCTCAGCTACTCTGGAGGCTGAGGCAGGAGAATCATTTGAACCCAGGAGGCAGAGGTTGCAGTGAGCTGAGATCGCGCCATTGCACTCCAGCCTGGGCAACAAGAGCAAAACTCCATCTCAAAAAAAAAAAAAAAAAAAGAGGTGGAGTGAAGATTGGGTGGAAGAGGAGAAAAACTAGAATAATATCACTTTATCTCCCAGGTTCACGTGAAAAATTCAATAATTTAGAAATGGTGAAGAATTGTGTCAATCACTTTTGTAGACTCAATACCTAATATAATTAGGCATTCCAGCAGTTTACAAAATTAAATGCAATTTTATTTATCTGATTGGAAGAAGGGACAAAGGCCAATTCAAAGAACAAATGCCCAGTCTAACTGATCACAGATCCTATTAATACCTCAGTGAGAAAGCTTTGTAATTTTGAAGTTTGGATTACACTTGCAAGTTCAATTAAATTGTGTAAAAATACAGATAGATTTCCAGTAAAATGATAATTACCAACATTTACTCAGTTCTTGTTCAATAAGACACTATTTTAGGCTTAGGTTGAAGTTTCAGTGTTTATCAATATTCTTGCAAGCAAAGAAAGACAGCTACATTAACAGGGACCATCCGATTCAGTTGTCTATGCCAGACACACGTCCTGCACCAGTCTTCCTAATCTAGGGAGCCTGGAGGCTTAAACTGTGTTATTAGGTCACTGATCATACTAAAAAGAGAAAACCCTAATAAAGGCAAAATTTTACTTTTGCAGCAGATTATTTGCAATAGAAATATTTGTTTAGAGAACAAGTCTGTGCTTTAAGTAGTTTCTCTACCTCTATGTAAAGATTCTTGGGCTCATAGACATATTCACAGGTCCACGAACATATTGTCATGTCTCTGGTCATAATCTCGGGGCCATGGACATAGTCTCGTATCCATAACTATAGTCTCAGGTGCATGGACATATTCTCATGTCTGTGGTCAGAGTCTCAGGGCCCATGGATATTGTCTTTTATCCATAAATGTAGACTCAGGTGCATGGAGATATTTTGGGGGTCTGTGACAACTGTTCACAGTTCACATTCTCTTTCCAGTACTACTCTATCAATGAGAACTTGTACCCCTATTATTGCTGCAGAAACACAAAGGATGACTTGGTGATCGGGCTTCCTGTTTTTGAGCACAAGAACAACTAATCCTGACTTCTAAAACAGTTGTGAAATCCTAATGCCATTTTATTTGCCAATACTATAATATGAGCCAAGCCATAAGGAAAGAGAACACAAACAAAATGAATCTATTAATCTTCCAATTGCTATTTTCACGCGGAAGGCAAAAGCTAGTTTCAGCCTTGATCCCTTTACACAAGAGTAAACTTTGCATATGTATCAATAGAGATAGTTAAGTTCAAATATTGACTGAACACATCACTAATGCACATAACTCTGAAGGCACGTGTGAGAGGGCCAGCAGCAGGTGTAATATGTCTTCTCTACTCCCTCCCCACCGTCAATTAGCAAGTCTTATTGGGAGGAGACCTGAAAGTAGAGCTAAGAGGAAGCAAAAATACAAGCTGACATCCAGATACCTCTGAATCCTCCGACCACCCATACCTTGAGCCATACATACTTATGAAGGTGTGGATAGTATGCGCCTGTGACGTGTGCTGGGGTGATTATATGACCACACCTCAGTGGACCTGAAAGGGGGTAGATTGCATGTTGTGTTTGCATAGCCACCAGCGGTGCTGCCCCTCAGTAGACACTGGGAAGTACAACCAATCAACACTGCTTAGGATTCCGGGGCTCTACAGCCTTTGGTAGTGTGCCCTGTGCAGTGGCAGGTATACCAGCAACACGACACACAAGATATCCTAGAAGAGGTTCTACCACGTGGCTTTCCACACTCCCTCCACTGCAGTGGTTCTCAAACTAGGTTCTTACACAGCCCAAGGGTTATTGGGTGGGCCCCAGTGGTAAGCAAGAGGCCCAGTGAGAGTCTCCATTCTCTCCCTGACCCTGGCTTCAAGAGCCACCCCACTTCTACTTGTGTTATGTGCTGGGTTTCCACATGATGGTTTGGTTAAAGGATCAGTCAAACATTTAAAGAATGTTTGAACACTCCTGCTCTAGTGAGAGGAAAGGCCAAAAATACCAGAATCTTATAGACATGGGAAGAGAAAAGGGACATATGTGCATTGCTTGGTGAGATGACAGCTGTGAACGTGACATGTCCCTCCAGGATTGTAGCATCTGCACGGCACGGCATGGCTCAGGAAAAGCCACTGAAAAGTTGTGGGCTCAGAAGGATCTGGCTACCATGGTGTACCACATATGTACATGCATGTTTGCGTGTGCACATGTGCATACACACACACCTGCCTGTGGCTGTTTACTAAGAGCAGAAAAATGATGGTGAAAAAAAATGAACCTGACTGCAGTGTTTGTGTGGGTGTTTAGTCAGACTTCTATCTGATATTCATACTTCAAACCAAAGCTGTTTCAGAAAAATGATTTTGGTATTTTACATTAAGGTATGTTACAGGAGGGCTTACCCACTTGTATTTATTTTCTGTGCTGTGGAACAGATTGCTACAACCTTAACACCTTAAAGCAATACAAATGTCTTATCTCATTGTTTCTAAGTGTCAGGCATCCAGGTCTGGTTGAGCTGAGTCCCCTGCTCAGGGTCCCACAGATGAGTCAAGGTGTGAGCTGGGGCTGTGCCCTCATCTGAGGTCAGGGTTTCCCAGGCTCACAGGTTATTGGTGGGATTTTGTTTGTTTGTTTGTTTTTTGTTTTTGGCTGTGGGGCTGGAGTCACCAGCTTCCAGAGGCTGCCTGTTACTCCCTGTCACACCCCCTACCGCATGGCGGCTTCCTCCTTCAAGGCCAATAGGAAAGCCTCACATGGCTTCCAATCCCTCTGACCTCTTCTGTCTCCCTCTGACCTCCATCTCCTCTTCTAAGGGGCGCATCTGATTAAACCCAGCCCACTCAGGAAACTTTCCTTTTCATTAACTGAAAGTCAAGTGATTAGGACCTCAGTGATACCTGCACAAGCCCTTCACCTTTGCCACATGGCACAACCTGCCCAGGGGAGGGTTCTGTCCATCGTAGTAACAGGTGCCACACCCATTCAAGGGGAAGAAATCACCAAGGCACATACACTAGAGGGCAAGGATCTTGGGACCCATCGTAGAATCCTGCCTACCACACAGACACGAATGAAATCAGTTTTCCACTCTTGAAAAATATGTATTGAGGATCTAGTATGTTCCAGATACTGGCCCAGGAACTAAAGATGCAGAGAAACAGGATGGGTGTGGTGGGGTTTGCAAGCTAGTAGGGGAGACAGATGTTGATAGATCACCCCTGAGTGGATTGTGTCAAGTGCAATGATGAAGAAGAGTCTTGACAGAGACATGGGAGCCCTGACCTGACCTAAGCTGGTGATCTGGGAAGACTTCCTGGAGGAAATGATACATGCTAGACCCTGAGAGATGAGTAGGAGTTGCCAGGGAGAAGGCAGAGGGTGGGGAAAAGTCCAGACAGAGGCATCCGAAGGCCCTGGATCGTGGCAGCCCAAGGGCCCAGGGTGGGAGAAGCAGACCACATTCAGGGAACTGAAACAGAGCTCAGTGTTGGGGAGCACCAGCGAATCAGGGGGAGAGCCCAGCTGCTGACCTGTCATGTCCATGTGGACCTCCAAAGGGCTCGTCAAGTGACAATGGGAAGGGAATTCCAGGTTCTGGTTCTTGCAACTGAGAAGATGGGGGGAGCCCATTTCCTGAGATGGGGCAAGAGAAGCGCAGGTTTGGATAGAAGATGGTGAGCCCTGTTGTGACTATGTTGGCCTAAGGTGCCTGTGTGACCCCTGGTGGAAACGTCTCAGCCAACTGGACACATGAGACACAGAAGCATTTACAGCTCAGAAGGGATGTCCAGGTGCATTGGAGGAATGTAGAAGAGAGAATTCTCTGAAGGCCACATTCTTTACTGCAATCAATTAAATTTGTATGCAGAACTTCTCTCTACGATGCCCAGGAATTCATGAAAACTTCCCAAGCTTGTTTTGACCTTCGTAAGAAAAACTCAGATTACCAAAATGGGTGTGATCACTAAGAGTGTTTCAAGAAAATATGTCCCAGACAGACATACACCATGTTTTACTCCATCATCTGCCATCTCTGTCTTCTGCAACTCTCAGTGTCTGGTGTTTGTCATTCACCACTGAGTCACAAAGTAAAGGCTAGTATCATTTAATGACATTTAATCTAAGGACATAAGGATGGTTATTAGAGATGATAGCTAGAACTTATTTAGCACTTACTCTACAGAGAACGATAAATAAATCATTTACATGAAGTATCTCTTGTAATTCTAACAGCAAAAACATAAGCCAGCACAATTATTGTAGATTTATAAATGAGGGAACTAAAGATTATTAGAGTAGTTAATCGACTTGCTCAGGACATGGAACTAAGGGGTAGAGCTGCATGAAACCAGCAGTGGGGCTCCAGGGCCCACACCTTTAAGCTTTATGATATTGTCCAAACCAGAACGAAAATGTTAAGTTCTAGCTCTGAAAAGATTAGCTCAGTCATCCAGAAAACGTTTCCAAAATGCCATGTTCTTCACATCTTCTACGTTGTTATTTTATTGTACAAAGTTCTAGTAACCATACAAGGAAAGACTGTGCAAGATAGATCATAAACCCATGTAGGAGGAGTCAACTGCGAGTTTAGATGGTGCAGTCAAAGCCCCTTGATCGGGTGTGACACAGGCGTGCTCATGGAAATCCTCAGTTGAAACAAGGAATCGCCAAACTTTACAGTGGCCAAGAAGTACCTGAAATGCTGCATTTTAGCTTAATACATATAAATATGTATTCACTCCCTAATCATTCTCTAATCACATGACTTAGGATCACTTCAAGTTTTGGGTGAAAACATTGGAGTTCTGTGCCATCTTTTACTCCGTGAACTGTGTATTTAATGTGTAGCATCTGCATTTTTCAACTGGTGTCTCAAGAGCATGTGACCATTTATCAACGATCTATTTGCAAATGGAGACAAATCCACATGTCCCATTCTTCTCAGTGGTCCTGACCAAGCATAGATCAGCCTTCTTCCTTCCTTCCTTTCTTCCTTCCTTCCTTCCTTCCTTCCTTCTTTTCTTCTTTTCTTTTTTTATCCTTCCTTCCTTTTGTCTTCCCTTCTTTCTTCCCTCCTTCCTTCCTTCCTTTCTTTTTTCTTCCCTTTTCCTTCCTTCCTTCCCTCCTTCATTCCTTTTGTGCTTCCCTCCTTGATTTCTTTCTCTCTTTAATTTCTTTCTAACTTACCTCTAAGGAAGCCTTTCCAAAGCAGTCCCATTAACTGTCATAGAAACAGCTTTCTCTTGCACTTGAATTTCATTGGTTTATGTAATGAATTAACTTACAGTATTACCCGTGACAGGTACATTTGTCACGAACAGGTTGGAAACAAATAGAATTGACTCCTCTTCAGCAGCCATTCAACTGGTTGATGCTAAACTACTTGGCCTCCTAAAGAGGAGATGTCCAGCAAGAGTGGTCACTGTGGTGAACACCAACCAAGGGCTTTATGGAAAGGACTGAGAGTGTTGGCTAAGCTAGGTGTCTACTAGGATTAAAATCCTCAGGAAACGTTCACTCTGCCCTTGTTCAGGAGGAGCCCTGGCAGCTCTGAACTAGGTTGTGGATGTCTTAGACATTGCCCTTACCTGATAGGGGTTTGTTCTCATGAGATTTCTTAATCCAGGATCTATCACTTACGTGTGTTACCTTTTCTAGACCTTCCACTGTCTGCAAGACTTGCCAAAACTGGATTTTATATTTTCAAATGGTGACTATATCCAACCCAAGTTAGTTCTCACCAGAGCTCTTGGTTTTGTTATGCAGACTTAGAAGAGTCAAGATGACAATTATGAGATGCACATTCAACTCCACAACTATTTACTGAGCAGTTGCATTGCCGTCAAAGCAGCCTCCAGGGGCTTGCAAGGGACTTATATTGGCTTGAATTTCAGTGCCTCCATCAATGTGCTTGCCCTCCATGTGGACAGTGAGGTTAATGAGGAACAAAGCAAGAGCTCTGATGCCTTTCTCACTGGCACCTATGACATTTTGGCATCTTCTGTGTCTTGGTCATCTCACCCCACCCCCTACCTCTTCAACCTGGAAAATAAAAGAACAAGAGGAGTGGGGCATGCCTTCCATCTTACTCCCAAATCATGCTTAATATTGCTGCCACCATGTTCTGCCTTCTTAGCTGGTTTACAGGGGAGAGTTTGTCTTACATGGATACTGTGAATCTTTGACACAATAATCCCTATTCATCAACAATATTTCCATTTCTCCTGAGCCCAAAGTGGTGCCATTACAAAATGACTGGGGTGAGGGAGGGTGGGGTCTCCATGGCTGAGGTAGTTCACCCTCATGCTTCTCAAATTCAGGATCCAAAAGGTTCATCCCCAGTACATTCAAAGCCAAAAACTGCAGCAGAAATAAGACTGATCCAGAAGTTAATTGTCCAGTTATCCAGAGGCAGGAAGTCTCCAGGCACTGAAATGGGCTGGGAAGGCTCCCCAGAACAACAGGGACTAGAACTGACTGTATTAGGTCCTAGAGCTACAAAGAACCACAGATTCCAGCATTAGGAATGTATTTGCTGTCTCTGAGTTCTGGAGGCCAGAAGTCCAGAATCAAGGTGTCTGCAGGGCTGGTTGTCTCTGAGAGCTTTGAGACAAGCATCTGTTCTGGGCTTCTCTCCTTGGCTTATAGATGCCGTCTTCTCCCTGTGTCTTCACATCATCTTCCCTCTATACATGTCTGTCTCTGTGCCAAAACTGGCCTTTTTATAAGGACACCAGAAGTACTGGATTAGAGGCCACACTAACAAACTCATTTTAACTCGATTGCCTCTGTAAAGACCCTACCTCCAATGACAGTGTCATTCTGAGGTCCTGGGGGTTAGGACTTCAACGTTTGCATTTGGGGGGACACAGCAGAACCTATAACGCTCGTCCTCAAAGAGCTGAACAGTGAGCGTGGAGTGGGGTCGTGTTGGGAGGCGTGGGCCCGCAAGCCCAAGTCGAGGCCCCACCTTGTGACTAAACGCACGGCTCTTCCAGTTCCAGGTCCTCCCGCGGGCGTGAAGGCAGCGGCGGCCTCAGCCTCCATGGTCTTTGTGTCCTGGCTTCCCCCTCTCAAGCTGAACGGCATCATCCGAAAGTACACTGTATTCTGCTCCCACCCCTATCCCACAGTAAGTTGGTAAATAACCAAGTGCCTTTGAAGCGTCTGCCAGGGACAAGCTGCAGGTGCTCGTGCTGGACAGTTTCATTCCTTTGTTTCCCACCTACTTGGGTCTTTCCGGTGGTTTTGTTTTGCCCCTGCTGTCTCCACATACAAAGCAAAGTCCTCATTTACACCTCATATGAAAATACGCTCCTGAATCATGACAAGGGGGACAATTGTCTGGAATTATTGTTTATTTGGTGAGTTCCTACTAAACTGCCAGCAACCTGATCAAAATCAAAGCCCAGAGGCCTTAATTGTGCCTTAATTGATAGTCAGTGGACAACACCTATTGATTTTACTGTTGGACTCATCATGACGGGCACTTCACGCCTTCCCTCCCTCCGACTCCTTCCCTCCCTCCTTCCTTCCCTCCCACCCCATCCCTCCCTTCTTTCCCTCCTCCGTCTCACACTGGGAAAAGAATAGCAGGCAAAACCCTATTGTGCTAGAAATGAGGGATTTTCATGAAGATCTATTACCCTTACGGTTACAGCAGTCAGCCTGGTTCATTGTGAAGGAACTAAAAGTTATTTACTATTTCAAAGTGTGGTTTTTGTTATCATTCATATTATTCCTGCTGAATAATTATTATAAAATTAGACTGCTTCTGAGACCACACCAAAACATATCAAAAAGGGAAATTAAAAAAAGAAACGTTGAAATCACCCACCAAAATTGATGATGTCTTCATAGAAACATTATGACATTTTCTGCGGCAGGTGCCGTGTTTCTTCCATCTTTGCATCTCCAGCTTCCAGTATAGAACTTGACACATGGAGTCATTCACTAAGCATTTGTGGAGTGAATATACACACTGGTTTTGTTTATTTTCTGGTAAAATACACATAACGTAAAACTTACCATCTTAACCACTTTGATTATCGAGTTTATCAGTGTTAAATACCTTCACATTGTTGTGAAACCATCACTACCATCCATCTCCAGAACTTTACAAAACCGAAACTCTGTCCCCATTAAACACGAATTCCCCATCCTCCCTCCAGCCAGACCCTGGCACCCACCATTCTACTTTCTGTCTCTGGATTTGACTCCTCTAGAGACCTCATGCATGTGGAATGATACAGCATTTATCACTTAGTGACCGGCTCGTTTCACTTGACATGATATCCTCAAGATTCATCCATGTTGTAGCATGCGATGGAATCTCCTTCCTTGTGAAGGCTGAAAAATATTCCCAAACAAATGTATGGATTAATAATCAAGGTGATGTGTTTGTGCAAGCTCAGAGTCCACAGGGGCCCTTGAGGCCTGGTGTACCCCAACAGTGAGTGTGAGCGAGAGAGTGTGTGGGCTTGCTTGGCCCATGAAGGTCCGTCTGTCTGCTGAAAAAGGTGTGTGCTCTACTGCTTATGCATTCATGGCAGTACGCTGTCCTTGAAGTCAATACGTAAATGCAAATGGTCTGAGTTAGGCTCCACAGTGTTTTTATGGGCTTCTTATGTCATTTTCAATATGCTGTTAATCCTCACTTGCTGAATCCTACCATCAAAGCCCAGAGATGTAGAGCACCGTAGACACAGAAAAAAAAAAAACTGAGCCATTGTGCCCTCTACTTAGAGTGGCAATTCTTCGAGGACCCCCCACCCTGCCCAGAGTGGCCTCCAATTCGCTCCTTAACACTGACATGTCCGTGTATTCACCAAAGAGAGACAAAAATTATTGCTGAAATAAAGCGTACTCATTTTCCACTAGAACGTGAATTGTATCTGTATTAGTATTCGCTCATTCATTCATTGATCTCTTTGCTACGGGATTCATGTTTGCTGTTTTGACTCTAACAGGCTAGAAAGCACCTAGCAGGGTACAGAAACACCAGCAGCTTCCTCTCGTTTTGTCTTCTCAATCAGATCTTTATCTGTAAACTAAAAATTCCTACCTGGCTTATTTGAAATGAGTCCTTAGTGACTGATGCTTGCCGAGGAAGCCCCTCTTTGTGGATGATACAGGCTGTATCTGGCTCTGTCCTCCCAGCCTGAGAATTACATACAATAAAAAAAGGAAGAAAAACCATCCTATCCTGCAAATAAAGTCACACAGGTGTTGTTAGATGGGGTAGAAACGCGTTTCCCCGGGATTTCTCCTGTCTCTTCGCCCACAGAACAATGGGATTTGACCTGCCCAGGATCTTAACAATACACTCTCAAAAGGGACAGTAATGAGGGCCAGCCAGGCATGATGGCTCACGCCTGTAATCCCAGCACTTTGGGAAGCCAAGGCAGGAGGATCACTTGAGGCCAGGAGTTTGAGACCAGCCTGGCCAACATATGAAACTCCGTCTCTACAAAAAATACAAAAATTAGCCAGCCGTGGTGGCACATGCCTGTAATCCCAGGTACTTGGGAGGAGGCTGAGGCAGGAGAAACTCTTGATCCTGGGAGGCGGAGGTGGCAGTGAGCCGAAATGACACCACTGCACTCCAGCCTGGGCAACACAGCAAGACTCCATTAAAAAAAAAAAAAGACAGTAATGAGAACAAACCAACCAGAAAAAGGTGGGAAATAACAGTTGAGATTTTTATCAGGGTATCTCTGTGTTGCCTTTTGACCATATTAAAAAGACTAGAGACATAGAAATATGATGAGCAGGTGCCTGTGTTCTTCCAGGCGGTGATACCTAGAAAGTGTTACAAGGAGGTCCCAGAACCCCAGAGCACCCTCATCGAAGTGAAGTGAACTAAAAACAGTTCCATCTCCATATCCACATTCCTATCTATCTATCTTAACCATCATTTAAGACCATGAGGCCTATTTCTTACATCAAATAATATCGTTGAGAGTTGAGGTCAGAGACAATTATTTCTCTTCAGAGGTGAATATTTGCAAAGAGTATCTATTATTCTGTTTTAAATATGAAATGATCAAGAAACTTTAAAGTACAGGAAAGAAGAGTGTTTTTTTGTTTTGTTTTGTTTCTTTGTTTTTTGTTTTTTGTTTTTTTTTCCGTCAGTTTCTGCAATTTGACTATCAGTAAACTGGATGCTGTCAAGTGTTCTGAGGTATTTGCATTTCTGGCTATGTGTACAAATGACCACCAGAGGGCAGCATGAGCTCTAGATATTTTCCTTGCTCATAAATCTGAATTTTTTTATTTGAAATGATTTCATAGTTGAATGTAGAACATAGGGGGATAAATCAGGACACAATATGCCTTGTAATTTGATCCTTTTTATAAGAGTCCCTCAGATAACCTCCTCGCTGATGTCAGTTTCTCTCAAGATCCCAAATTCATCTCCCTTTCTTGGGAAAGGACCTTGTTAAAATAGACAAGCTTTGTTATCTAATATGTGACATATAATGTCTGCTAATAGGCATTTATTTCATGGTGCTGTCTCAGTTTAGCTTACAAAAAGCCATTAGAATTTGAAACATTGCATGTGGCCCGATGACAAGTTAGAGTAACTGAGAATGAATCTGCCAACAGGTTGTCTAAAGATAGTGCTGACTGAACATGAACCTTCCCTCGGGGGTCCAGCAGTGCAATGAGATATTGAACTCCCTAATCAGAGATTCAAACCGCAAAATCTCAAAAGTCATTTGATTCAGAGCCTCTTCCCTATAATTTGCAGATTCTGGCTATTAATTTTAATATATAATGGTTTGAATGATCAAACAATCTATTATAAGCAATGAAAGTCCAAAGACTTGAGACGGCCCTTTTAAGGTCTCAGGAAGGAAACAGCCAAGATTCATTTCCTCCCTGATGCTCCGGTCTACATAAAAGCAGTCTGCAAAAATTTTACATACAGACTGCTTTTACTGTATACACATTAAATAAGCATTATGATGTAGACATTGTCTATTTCACAATGCTAATCTCATTTACAGAGCTTAGAAATGTAAAATTAGGAAGCGCAGACTTCTCGTTAATGAAAACTAAAAGTCAGAAGGCATAAAATATCTCTGAGTTGTGATTCACATCGGTTATTCCAGCTTCAGATGATATTATTCAGTTCCTATACATAGTAGGTGCTCAATAAATGTTGCTGAGTGAACCAGTGAGAATACACCACTACTCTTCTTACCCAGAAGACTTGGGCAATTAAGTCTTCACAATGTAGACCACAACTTAGAATTAAACAAGCCTTCTGGGAAGCAAAGTAACTCACCAGGTCCAGACAGCTTCCCACCCCAGGCAACAGGTGTGTGTTTGCCTCCCAACTGGCTGCCGACTGCATCGAATAAAGCCATGGTCAGGCTGAGGGCGAAAGGGGACTTCTGAGGACCAGAAATGTGCAGGAATCTCAAGGAATGGGAAAGTGGTATAACGTGGAATCCAGAAAGCAGCATCTAACATGCTCAAGTGTATCTACAATGATACTCATCACAGTGTTCATTCTTCCCCTTTCACATGAAACAGGGACCTCCCGGCTGTATTAAAATGTCATTCCTCCCTCCCAGTACCCTCCCTATTTCATGTCACTGTAGCATATAGTGACACTACTAGACAGCAGTTTGCTTTTAAAATCCTCCTTTTCTTAGCTTCCATTATCTTGTTTTTTATTCTCTGTTGCTTCTCATCCCTCTGCTTCTCACCCTTAAATATAGGCATTTTCCAATATTCTTCCTTTATCTCTTTTAATATTCTTCACTATCTCCGTGGATCATTGAATCTGCTCTTATAATTTAACTATCATTTGAAATTAAAGAGTTCACATTTTTTATTTCTAATCCTGACAATCTTAGAGAACCATCAGTCCTATATTTCCAACTTACCACCATCTGCGTACTCAGGAAGACCTCCCCAGTACTTCACATTCAGTGTGCCCACAAACACGTTTATACTTGTCTCTCCCTCTCTTCCTGTGTTCTAGTTTAGCTGATGATCTAACAAAATCTGCTGCTTTCTGACCAGAAACTCCGAGCTACCTATAGTTCCTCTCCTAATCATTCATTCATTTATACCACAAATAAACATAGAGCACTACTCTTACACCAAGCTTTGAGC